TACACCCCCGCCCCCCGCAGGCCACTTCCTTCCTTCCGCCGAGCATGTCAAGATGCCATAACAGCGGGCAATAAACTTGAGCCGGCGGTGTGCAAATGCTTGCGATTTCAACTCGTTGTTTGCACCTCCGGCGCCGCCAGTCCACCAGTCCCTCCAGGTCCCTCCAAATTCTTCCCGGTCCCGGAGTCTGCGGACTCCCGACTCGACGCGGGCCCGTCTCGCGCGCAGACGATAATGAGCCAGCTACGCCGAGCGACGCGCAGCTCGCAGCACTCGCCCGTCACGATTTGTTTGGGTTTCGTCGGAACAGCTGTTGTCGGCAAGGACACGAACGCCGCGGCCCCACCAAGGCTTCCTGGACACGCGCGAGCTGCCCATTCGACCCCCCGGCCAGCCAGTGAATGGCCCATGGTTCTGTTTCGTTCGTTACGTTGGCAGCCGGTTATGGGCGCCGCTCTCTCTCCAGAGGCTCAGGCCGATGCTGCTGGGATGGGAGGGCAGAGAGCGCCGGGCGGGTAGGCAGCCGCAGGGCACGCCTGCCTGCCGGCACGGCCCGCCCGGCCCCTGCGGCAGCTCTCGCTGGCGGGCGGGGAGAGCGCCGGGCGGGTAGGCAGCCGCAGCGCACGCCTGCCTGCCGGCACGGCCCGCCTGGCGCCTGCAGCTGCGACGGCTCTCTCCAGAGGGTTGGCCGGGTGGAGAGAGCGCCGGGCGGGTAGGCAGCCACAGCGCACCCCTGCCTGCCAGCACGGCCCGCCCGGCCCCTGCTGCTCGCGTGAAGGGCACCGGACTCTGGGCTGGAGGCCGAGGGGAAGTGAAGGGGGGCGGGGCAGCAGCGAAACGCAGTCAACGCAGCAGCACTCAGGCTCAGGCGAAGTTGTTCCCTGGGAAGGCAATAATCCGATCCGGCCAATGCCGAGCAGAGCCAAGCCCCTGGCCCGGCCCCTGGCCCAGCCCGGCTCATGGGGCAGGAGCTTGTTTCAGCGCCGAGTGGCGGCATCGCGGCGGCGGCGGCGGCGACTGGCGTGAATGGCGAGCTTTATTTTCGCGTGTTTATTTTCATCTCGGCCGACGCGACGTGGGCGTGGCGTGGCGCGGCGTGCGGGGGAGCGGTGAGGCGGGGGAGGGAGTCGTGTTTGGGGGGAGGGGGGAAACACGGCTCGCGGCTCGCGGGGAGGAGGGGCTCGTGCGGGCGCAGGGGTGTACACGGCGGGTATATCGGATAGCGCCATCACAGGGCCCATCGCGCCTGCGGCTTGCCAATATGCCTGATGCCTGACGGCTCTATGGTCGGCATGGCCGGGCAGGTGGCGAGGGGATTGCGCGGGTAGGGGGCAGCGCCGCCCTGCCTGCCCTGCCCGGCGGCCTCGGCCCGGGGGGCGCGTTGAGGAGCAGAGAGCAGGCCCGCTCCTAGCCCCTGCTCGCCGTGCCAGACACAAAGCGCTCCGCCCCGCCGCCGCTGCACAACCGGCAGGGCAGGCACGGCGCCCCGGCCAGCACAGC